AAAAAAAAAAAAAAAAAAGAGCAAATATTTAAACCTGTCTTCATCTCTTCAAAATGTCGTTATAAAACAAAAAAGTGGAGATAGGGAATAACTGTTAATAGATGAAAAGAGACTAGAGACAGCTTAAAAATGCTGTTTCTTAAAATGCAATGAGTGGATATTAATGGGATCCTGGTTTTTAAAACATCTGTAAAAGACCTTTGGGGCCAAGTGCAGTGGCTCAGGCCTATAATCCCAGCACTTTGGGAGGCTGAGGCAGGAGGATCACAAGGTCAGGGGTTTGAGACCAGCATGGTGAAGCCCCATCTCTGCTAAAAGTACAAAAAAATGTGCCGAGCATGATAGTGCTTGCCTGTAATCCCAGGTACTCAGGGGGCTGAGGCAGAATTGCTTGAACCTGAGAGGCGGAGATTACGGTGAGCCAAGATCACACCGCTGCACTCCAGCCTGGGTGACAGAGCAAGACTCCATCTCTGGGGGGGAAAAAAAAAGACCTTTGGGGGGAAATTGAGATTCAGATACAGACTAAATATTAGATGCTATTAAAGAATAATTGCTGGCCGGGCACAGTGGCTCGGCCTGTAATAGCACTCTGGGAGGCCGAGGCAGTCAGATCATCTGAGTTTGGGAGTTCAAGACCAGCCTGACCAACATGGAGAAACCCTGTCTCTACTTAAAGTACAAATTAGCTGGGCATTGTGGTGCTCACCTGTAATGACAGCTACTCAGGAGGCTGAGGCAGGAGAATCGAATGCACCTGGGAGGTGGGGGTTGCAGTGAGCCGAGATCTCGCCATTGCACTCCAGCCTGGGCAACGAGTGTGAAACTGTGTTGCATGCATGCGCGCGCACACACACACACACACAAGAATAATTGGTCATTTCTGTAGGATGAAAATATGGCCATAAAAGGAAAATGCTATTATTTTTAGGTGATATGTTCTGAAATGTTTAGGGATACAGTTGATGATGTTTATAACTTATTTTCAAACAAGCCGGCAAAAAAACTTTTTATAATGTATAGATAAAGCAAAGTTAGCAAAATATTAACAATTGTTGCCGGGCGCGGTGGCTCAAGCCTGTAATCCCAGCACTTTGGGAGGCCGAGGCGGGTGGATCACGAGGTCAAGAGATCGAGACCACCCTGGTCAACATGGTGAAACCCCGTCTCTACTAAA